GGGGGGGGGGAGGGGGGGTGCAGACATGTCATTACCTAACAGAGGCAAAACATATTATTAATAAAAACATCTTTAGAAACATTTATTTCCCCAGTATTCAATTTTTCAATCTGGTATAAACCATATTCTTAAAATATTCAAATAGTTTTAAAGAAAAATGGTAAACTCCTATCCATAAAGATTCCTGAAACAACTTAGAACAAAACAAAAATAAAACAGGAAAAAGCTATTTCCATAATTCATCAAGGATTTAACTACTGCTTTTCTACATATACCAGCAGAGTTGCATACTGGTATAAGATTTTTCAGAATATACTACTTTCATTTGGGGAAAAAAAATAATGATCTTAGAAATGAGGATGTAAATTTCTTTTGAATAAAAAGCAGAGAAACAGAATTCTGAACCTCCAAAGTTTCTTACCAGTACAGTTCTCCTACTTGATACATTGGAAAAAAAAAAAAAAAAAGGCCCAGAGAGGTTAGGTCTCATTCAAGGTCACACAGAAAATCTACGCAGTTAGATCTAGAATCTAGCTTTCCTAACTCCTGATTTCACTGTCTTTCCATTTAACCTACTCTGTTTTTTCCTATCCCCAAATTCTAGAGGTGTTAAAGACAGAAGTTTTAATATTTTTTAAGCTAAAAATAGTTGTTTTTATGCCATGACATTTTGGTCCAATTGGAATAGTGGAAGAGTTCATAGAAAATATTATCTACAATGAAGAAAAATTTACATTTTAACAGTGTTTTACAGTATCATACTTACTTTTCTGAGTTACAAAATTTCAACCTTTCAAAGAATTTACCATACCTGTGAAATCTGAATTCTCTTACCTTGAACAACAACTTGGTTGCTGGGTACTAAGATCTGCTGGCCATCAGTGGTCTGTGCGTACTGTAGAATGGTAGTACCCGGTTGAGTGGCAGCTGCATTGGTCATGGTTAATGTTTGCAGGCCCTGTACCCCATCTGTACCATTGTTAGCCAGTTGTATTGCTCCTCCCTGGGTAATGGCAACTAAAACCCAATGGATTTTATTGTTACAAGTTTAATTAATAACATATAGGACTTTTACAATATACTAAATTCAATGAAGAATAATTTGTGAGACATAAACTTGGAGAAATTATAACAGCAAATAACACTACCAAGAAGGATTTGGTACACTCAAGTACCTTTCTGCTCAGGAAACCCACATCCAATTTCTATAACACAAATGCCCTCTATGACCCACATTATAATTATAATAATATCTGTTAACAATTTTTTAAAAGTAAGTAAATGAGAAAATATTAAATTCCCTTTGAAGTTACTTGGTTCAGAGGACCACTTTGTGATCCACACTTCCTTTATTCTAGCATTAACTACCTAATATTTTAACTGCTAAGTATTTGCTGTCTCACTAGTAAATAAATTACTTGACGGTAGGAAATGTGGTTTTTCTTCTCTACTTTGATGTACTTAGTACAATAATGGGCATGTAATAGGCACCCAACAAATGGTCGTCTTAATGCATAATTAATAAAGCAGTTCAGTAGTGCATTCTTTTCTCTAACTTGCTAGCAATGCACAAATTATAGCAAAAGTTCACTCAATGAAACAACTGAAATGTCCTATGGAACTTAATTAGCACAGAGTCTCTCATGGAGTTTAAAATCAGAGCTTAAGATCATCATTTAGAAAAAAAAGAAAACTTTACTGCTATTTCTAAGTTACATATCCAAGCAATCTCATATAGAATCTTTTTTTGATTATTTACTAATTAACCACACTTGTCATTCATCTGTTACAAAGTAATCAACTTTGGCTCATACTACTAGATATTTCACTTTATAAAAAAATTAATTCACCTTTAGGGTACAGTGCATGGATAATGTTAATAAAAATAAGTAAATCATTATTTTATTTGTTACAAGCAATCCTTTAGATACCAGCATTGAGATAGGTAGTTGGATCCTTTTCCAGACACTCTCCCTGTTAGAGTTCAAGTTTTCCAAAAAGAGACTAAAAATTACAATATTACATATAAAATTGCATAATGGATTTTTAACTAAATAAATTAACATGTCTGACTTAAGCATGTTACTTTTTGTCTGTTAGAAAGGAATTAACTTGGGATCAATGGTCAGCTAGCTCTAGTAACTAATATCCTGAGTCATCTGTATATGGAAAATTATCTACTGATCAAGCAATAAATAACAACAGTTAATGGCTTTCATCTGGTTTGCAAAGATATCTGTCGAAATTAAGATACTGCAAATACAATCCACTCACTTTACTAATTCCGTAAGTTTTTATTATTTTTGACAAAGATTAAAAAAAGGGATATGTAAGAACTATTCTGAGATTAATATTGCAAGATAACTTGAAGGAATGAGAAGGTTAAGAGAATCAAACCACAATTTCTCATATAGAGTTAATAAGCAAATTCTACTGTATTTAACACATACAGCTTTCTTGACTACATACCAATGGACTCAAGGTGGGAAGAAAGAAGTAGAAAACTAGATATCAGGAGATCTGAGGTCTAGTCCAAGCTCCATCACTAAACTGTTATTTGAATCTGTTATCTCTTCTGTAAAAATAAAAATATCTGGTTCTAGCCACTAAAGTACAATTGTTGTAAAAATCAAATGAGATAATGTATATGAAAGTACTCTGAAAACTGAGGTCTGATCCTATCAAACATGGTTTTTCTCAATATTCATTTATACATTTATTTATTTATACAACAATTATTTCTTGATTTTTCCAAAAGGATTTTAGATAGCTTTCAATAAAACTAAATTCATTAAAACAAGAAGGAAAAGAGAGAAGTCAAGTGACTAATGTGTCTCTAGGTGTATATAATAATCCTACCAGAAAATCTAGAAAGAAAGAATATAACTAAACGTAAACTTAGCTGAGATTCCCAGTAGCCAAAAAAAGAGGAAATCATCAGGGGTTATAGTTTTGTTTAGTGAAACAAAACATTCAAGTTCAAAATGATAGACACATGTTTTTCTAACTAAAAATAGAATCTCTCAAACAAGACTTTATTGAGACAGTGAACCAAGTATGGATAAAACTAGTAACAGTATTAATAAAAAAAATAACCAATTTATGGAAGGAACAAAAATTGGTGCAGCCACTGGGAAGGGCAACTGGGAAGGATATGCTTTGGTTCAACAGTTCTACTCTTTGGATGCTACTCCACTGAGACAGTACTACATACATAAGAATGTTCACGTAGCATTGCTTGGAACAGTAGAGATGTCCTGTATGTTCATCAGTATGCATGCGAGGGACTGTTTAAATAAATGTTCTATTTAAATAGTGAAACACAATATAGCTGTTAAAGACACAATACACATAACTATGTGTATATATTGTCTATGGTATATAAATAATGGAGGTCTCACTTGCTTGACAATACATGATAGCATGTGTTTGTATAAGTAGAATGAAAAAGAATGACAAAATAATATACCAAACTTACTACTGGGAAGGGATGAAAAAGATTTTTACTTTTTATTAATACTATGAACCTCTACCACTTGAATTTTCACAACCATGCATTTGTTTTATAAGTTAAGAAATATAAAAATGTTGTTGTATATATAAGTAGTCATTATACTGATTCTTAATGACAATCAAGAACATAATGTTAAATCAGTTCCATCAAGGTCATGTGTGTATACCCAGAGAGAGTAAGGGAGAAAGGTAATGAAATGACTAAGCTTTAAAAATCTCCAAGTATTAACGCTTTAAAACTGGTAATCTCCTCAGTTGCTGGAGGAGAGCGGTGTGCCAAATTAAACATCTACTTTTCTGAATTTGCCTTCCTTCTCTGAGATTCTGATGTACCTCTTTCTTAAAGGGCATGCTTTCTCGTTCAAGTGAGACGCACTGCACTGAGTCACTGTCACTAACAGAAGCATACTGTATCCCCTAGGTATGCTCAAGTAGGAGAAAGAAAGGTCATGCATCTGTCTTAAAACACGCATCTTGAATAACACAATTATTTGGATATAAGGCTAAAAAATACACACGTACACGTACGTAGATAGTACCTGTTTCTCTCTGCCAACAAAGAACTTGAGGAGGAAAAAGATAACTAAACTCTATTAAACTTACAGAGTGGACAAGAAACTTAGTCAAAAATGCCTTTCTTCTACTTACTATCAAAAGTTTCAGCTTTGAGAGAGCTAAAATGTCTGCTATTTGCAAATCTGTTGTTAATCCAGCTGAAATGCAAACCAAGTTTAAGTTATAACTGGAAAACTATTAACTTGGGAGTCAAGCTTTTATACATATTTCTGACACAGGCATTAGAAAACTAATGCAGCAAAGGAGTTTCAATGTGTACATTTAATATGTAATTAAGAAAGGGAGGGGTGAAAGCATGATGGGCAGTACTGAAGTTAAAGAACATGAAAATATCAATATGTGAGGCACATTTTGGGAGGCAAAAAGATACTGGGAAAAGAGAACAAAAAGTACCATCCATACAAATGCCTCTGATCGAACACAACAGAATTCAGGAGGACTTTACAACAGATTTAAGTGAAAGATAAGTATTATCACCGAAATGGAAACTTTGGTAATTTTGCAAAAGAAATCTTTGCTTTCTATGAGCCAAAAAGGACTTAATTCAGCAGTCCTATGATTTATCATAATTCACTACACTACCTTTCATATTAAAAGAAATAATAATTGAATGCAGTAGACTGCAACCAAGCCTCTCCACCCCACCACGAAACATTAAATAGGATTTTACAATGCTGGAAGGGAAGATGAAATATTAAAAAAGATGAGTAATAAGACCATTTTGGGCCTTAAGCATAATCAAAGAATGATTATTTTTTATCTAAAAAAATGTGTATTCTCTATTAACATTATATATGAACTAAAATTGTGAAGTAGTGGTTCAAAAAACTTCTAAGACTCTCCATGCACTGGCATAAAACATAGGGCCATCTAAAGGGCTTACGTAGCTGGGCAATCCTAATCAAAACCCCGAAGAAAAGAAAATACTTCTGTTATAGAACTTTGCATATTGAACAGTAAAGGAAATATAATGATAGCAAGACCGAGAAAAAGAGTCGCCGCTTCTATGATTCCTTTAAGGAGAATGCAGACATTAGTTTTTCATCTCACTTTCCAAAACAGAAATATCTATTACTCACTATACTGTCCACTGCTAGTTTGGTAAATTGGAGTTGGCACCGTTACAGTGGTGATGGCAGGTGCTGAAGTCTCCTCTTCAGACTTCTCTTCTTCAATTCTTGGCACTCCTGGTGCATCAGAAGATAAGTCATTCAAAATTTTCCTAGAAAAATAGAGAATTATATTAATTAAAATAAAAGTGACATTACTGGCTAAATACAAATAATAGGAAAAGATCAGAAAACTGGTAAGCTGCTAGTACATAGGACAAAAGTTTAAAATAGGATCGGAGATCTATATGTCAAGATGAAATCATTCAAGGACCAGAATAAACACAGATGAATTTTTCTTTAACCTGAATGTAAACACTGTGATTCAAGAACAAGGTTCAAGTAGAGATTAATAAAATTTGACTACAGAAAAAAATCCTTTTGTGTGGCAAAGAACAGAAAAAAATTAAGTGGAAAGATGATCAACACTTCTAGAAGTAAGCTTATGAAGATTTGTGGAATTAATTTCCTGGAGATACTGAATATGGAGCCAATATCTACATATTAAAAAAATGGTTTTGGTCCACCTTGGAGGTAAGGCAGGGGCCAGGCAACTTCTCTAGCTGATTAAAACTATAGGAAGGTGCCCCTACAATTAGGAGTATCAGCAAAGCATCACCCTGAAACAACTATTAAATTAACAATAATCTGCTAAGTACCATGGCACAAGAAATGGTTGGCAAAGGTGTTGCTAAGTAGATGAATAGTAGTTTCAGAACTAACTTCTTAACTAGAAAATGCTATAACCTTATCAAATGTATTTCAAACTTTTAAACAGAAAAGCAGTAGCCAGCTTAATCTACAAAAATGGAAGCAGAAAAATATCAGTGTTTATCCAGGACTGTTCAGAGTAAGAAGTGCTCTTATTCTGTATGATAAGCTTCCCAGATGAAGAAAAGTAAGCTACAGGGTCCTGAACTGAACAGCTAATTGGTTTCCCAATATCTCTGATTTTAAGTTTTTTAACTATTAAATTCCATACCTGTAGGAAGGCCTCCTTGAAAGAATTTCTCTTCGTTTTTGGGAATCAGTTACACTATCCACTGACTCTTGTGAATCTTCACTTTCTGCAATAGTTGAAATCTGAAAATAAAGAAGAACTTTATCTTGATAATCAAATTTTGTTTCCATATTTTTATGAATTTTAAGAAAAAGTCAAATACAAAAGGACATAAACCTTATACATGCTTTAGATGAAAAAAGTCTGTTTTTATGAGAGACACCCACACCAATCACTTTCCTCTCCCCTTTACTTATTCTATAGAAGCCAGAGGACCTAAAAAAGTTGTCAAAACCACACTTTTGTGACATCCAAATTCAGCTTAATCTCTTCCAGGACTTCATGTAATCAATCCTGAATGTATTGATATTACCTGTCAGTTGTTTTTGTACAACTGGTAGAAAAAGACTACCAAGTAAAATAAGGTTTCTTGAATAAGTAATTATTTGGTCATAAGTCTATACAGTGACTATATAAATACTTTCCTTTAACTTCCGTGTAAACACTGGTGAATATATTTAAAAATGTGCAAATAAGATTGGTGATACCCCAACACAGTCCAGAGGGTTGTTTCTAGCAAGTTAGGAAGAAGCTCTCTGTTACATATAGACATGTTTCAAAGTTGGTCTTCTACAATTTTTATTGAGCAAACACTCAAGATTAAAGAACTGTGCATTTCTGGAAAGTATCCATAGACTGAAGAGTAACGAAGATAAGCTGAAAAAGATTTTACATGGGATAATAATAACAGCAACTAGTCTTTATTACTATGTGCCAGGTGCTCTGCTAAATACATATATTGTATTACTCAATACTCACTAATATAGTAATATTAGATGCTGGGTAAGTACAATTATTATATACATTTTATAGACAGGAAAACTAAGGTACAAAGAAGTTAACTCACCCAAGCCACAAAGCTAGGAAGTAGTGGAGTGACTGTCAATACTTGGCATCTCAGTTTTAGACATCCTTACAGGCACCAAAATCCTACTGGTTCCAATCTCAAACCATTTTTTTCAGAAACAGCAACCCAGAGGTTTTTTTAGACCATTTTCAGACTAGAAGTTCATTCACCTAGGCAAGCTTGTCTGTCAAATTTATACTGCCAAGTTTCCCTAGGCTACTCAACAGGGGCCTCCTACTTTTTCCTGAACTAGGTGTGCATGATGCTGTCAGGGTGAGATTTAGATTTAAACAAGGCAAAAGGGTCTGTGTGGGTTAGCTCCAGGTCAAAATTTAAGGCAATGGCAATAAGAAAAAACATATTCAGAGGAACCGAAGAAATCCCATAGGCACTATATGTGGTGTGAACCTAAGGGTTCTAGAGAGTGGGCACTCCTTTTGACAGGGCTTTGTCATATGCATTCACTTAAATGCTTCATAAACTATACTTACAATCAAGTAATGTGCATCATCCAAACACTGTAAAGTATAAGTATAGTCTTTAAGACCTAAAAATTAACAGGAATATTTAAGGAATCCAGAAATGACAGATAAAAAGATGGGCAAGGCTGAATTTACTCTGTGATTCTCTGCAGAGTAGTAACACTATAGTTACTGCCAAAGGAGCATACAAAACAATTTCTCACTCATCTGTAGCTGCTGTAACTCGACCTCTCAGCTCACAGACTTTATCACAGAGGTAGAGCAGATGAGGAGCTGTGAAACGGCCTTAACAGAAGGTCAGAATTTCAAGGACTAACAAGACCAAACTCATCGTGGACAGTGCAGTGTCTAAAGTGTTTACGTCATTAATACTTCTCAGAACCTTAGACCTTCTATTGTTCTCTCTGCCTTGTTTGACTCTCATCCTTATGACCTTCTTTTAAGGATATACAGTGACTTAGGCACACTCTCCCAAGTTGAACATCATGAAACCAACTTCAAAACATGCTACCTAAACTACCCATGTGACAGTTCCAAAATGAAATAAAATACTGTTGCTTTTCTATATGTAGCCTTTAATTTTTTCAAACTCAGTGGATCTACTGCTCTTAGTAGGGGGAAAAAAACCCTCCCTCCGATCTAAAAGATTTTGTCAATTCAGACAAACAGAATTAACTTACCATATAGTAATTACTTGGAACAATGAGGCCAATTCCTATGGATTATCTACCCAAAATAAAAAACGACCAAACAAAAACAAAACAAAAATACACACATTTCTGAGACTAGTAAAAACCATGTCAAAAACCCTTTTTATATGCCCTGGATGGTGTGGCTCAGTTGGCTGAGCATTGTCCTGTGCTTGGAAAGGTTGCTGGTTCAATTCCTGGTCAAGGCACATGTCTGGGTTGTGGGCTAGATCCCGGGGAAGGGGGGGGCGCGTGCAGGAGGCAGCTGATCCATCTTCTACTCTCACATCTCTCTCTTCCTTCTCCTCTCTCTCCAAAAATCAATAAAAATATTTTTAATTTCCTTTTTATAAATAAAAATTAATTATAGTTTAATATATATTCAATAGGCTATTAAAAATAACCATATGAAACATTATATCCCAATTTTAAGTATCATAGATTACTACCTCATTCCAATGACAGACCATTTCTTCCGGGCCCCACCCTCTGTCTCTTATAAACCCCTTCCTGAGTTCCTTAAGTAAGTCTTTAACCTTGGCCACTTATAAGTCCATAAATTTTCAAAAAGCCAAACTACCACTTGTAGATGTAAAGTTTTAGATCTATATTTCTCAAATGTCTTTTACTTTGTTAAAAACCATACCTCCTTTTTATATGGGGAGAGGGAAACTTCCTATTTTGATGTTTTTTGAAATTTCAAAATAAAATATCAGTGAAAATCAAAGCAATGGTAACATTAGATGCTTTCTCAAACTATATGCAGTCCCCTGGAACTTAAGTAATTTCCTGTGGACAGTTCACACTCATGGTTTAGGTAGTTTTTTACTTAGTGGATCTAGAAGTTTTATAAATGTCTAAGCAATAACTTCCAAACTCTTTTGATCTGCAGATCTCCCTTATAAATAAGAAAAATTTACATAAGCATATATTTCTTATTTGTAAATTTTAAGTGTTACTTTACATTATAAAACAAAATTTTAAAGAGATAGATCAAGTATAAATATTAAAATGTATCTGTAAATTTCTTAAAGATAAATCATTTCATTTTTTTATAATAGTGAATGATTTGTTTTGATATGCTTCATCAAAAATCACTTAACAGTTTGTAATAGTGGCTCAAAAATACGATTCTAAGCTTGGGCTTTTGAAATATGATTTAAAATCCACTAATATTGAAAAAGAGAACTCGTGAGATAGATATAAAATACATGCATTTTTGGCTGGGCTTACTTAATAAAATAATTTTTCTTTTTTATCTACCAGTTATACAAACTTTTGATAAGATTTATCTAGTATACTTCCATTTTCCTGGCTCTCAGTTACTATATACTACTAAAAGATTTCATGATTTCATATTTTAACAAATAAGTCCAACACCTATTGAAACGCTAGAAGACTTCTAAATAGTTTAGAAAATTTTATTTCTAGGATTTTAAAAGTATACAGATTTGAGGTTTTAGATACCAAATTTACATTGTTTGCAGTTAAAAAAAAGTATGGAAACATTTCCAAACGTTTATTTTCAAAATGCTCTCTCCACAGCACAAGTTGCTTTCAAAACGTAGTTACTCTCTCATGCATTAAAATGTCACTTTCTTCTAGAAAAGATAGTTAAAAGGGATTTTCTTTCCAAAAATATATTAGGTAACATATCCTTTGCACATCCTTGCTTGCCATCGTTAAAAATATCGGAAACTTCAGAACACTTGTCTTATGTAAAAAACAAACAAGTAATTCAGCCTTTCATTAGATAACTCTTACACACACTGCTCCATGATAACCACTAAACCTCCTATGTTGCACAAGAGATTTTTATCTTGCTCCCATCACATTACACAGTAAAGATTCTATCAAAAATTCCATCTCTACCCACTCTCCCTCTTGCTCACTCTATTTGAGTCACATCTTCTTGCTGCTCCTTGATATGTGAAGCATACTCTCACTTCTGAGCCTTTGGACTTCCTTTTATTTGTACGGGCTAGCCTCCTTCACTGTCTTCTGCTTACCATGTTCTCTGACCACCCGACATAAAGCAGAACACTCCAAATCATTCTCCATCACTTTTCCCTGCTTTAATCATCTTCCCAGCACTTATCCTCACTTGACATATTTTATTTGTACATTGTTTCTCTTCACTCAAATGTGATCTTCATGAGAATAAGGAAGTATTATTTGTTCACTGCTGCCTTTCAAAGCACCTAGAACAGTGACTGGCACATAGTATGTGATCAATAAAAATTTGTTGAAGGAGTAAATGTAATAATTTAAGGTAACATAATCCATAAATCCTCTGACATGTTTCAATTGCACTGTATTAAAAACGCATCCAAAACCAACAAATGAATAGTGAGGATGCCATTGTTAACTTCTATACATTTATGTCACTCCTGTAATCTGTGAGATTTGGCTTATTTTAGAAATGCTGTTCTAGAATAATTTTCTCCCATCCGGAAGTTTGAGAAACCATTTCTCTCCTTGTTGGATTGCCTCTTTTGACATAAACTACTTCCTAGTTATTAATATTAGTTACTGTTAATCAGCTGAACTGACCATTAAAACTTAATAGATTCTCCATGGATTAGGCCCTTTTAAAAAAATACTATACTTATGTCATTGTTTGTAGAATTCAGGCTTTTCAATTATAGGCATAGCTCACCTTAATGGAAAAATGTGTTCTTGAAAAGATGAACCCATTTCTATAGTTAATGGCCCTATAACCTCCAGGTCCAAGTTATTGTTGTTATTCTTGCCACAAAGTAAAGATTAAAATTAAGAATACAGTAAACAAATATCACTTATTATCACCAAAAACTGTAATCTTAACAAATTTTGTGGGTATAATTTTGGTAATTTTTTGGTGTTCTTTCTCCTACTATAAGTGAAAAAGTAAAGATTAATATGAGGTTGGAATTTAGTCTCCTGACTAGCAGTTTCTTTCTACTATTATCAGGAAAAAGATATGAGTAGGGAATTAGTAATGGCATAGAATGGAAAATGTAAGGTAGCATTCAATGAAATAAAAACTGAGGCAAAGGATAAGAGACACAACACATCCACTGTGATTCTATAGAAATATCAAATTCCTCTGTTTTTATCTGGAAAATACTGACTCCTAACTTGGTAAAAAAATTCCATTCCAAGTGTCTTTCAGTATAGAAATTCCTACAATTTAATGATTTCACATAAAAACATCTCCCCTCCCCACTAAGTGTTCAAGCAAGCCAAAAGCACAAGGACAGAATGAAGCAGAGGGGGGTAACAGCAGTTCAATACCCAAAAGTGTAACATGGCAGACAAGATCTAACATGTTCTTTCAACGTTAACAGAATGCTTCCAGGACAAAGGAGGCACTTCCCTCCATAAACATCCAGCAGCCTGGCTACCATTCCCAAGGAAAATGCAACAGCTCACCCACAAGACGACAATGAGGATGGTGATAAGGAATAGGCTATACCATAAAATAAAGGACCGAAGAAAAACAAGTGATTGTTTAGTCTGCACTTTGTTTTTTTAATAGGAAGGGGGTGAGAGATGGGGATTAGGAAGCAATCTAACAGAAAAGGAGTTAAACTTGCTTAACTAGTTTCTGAGGATAAAACTGGGACCACCAGGTAAACTTTTGGAAAGGCATACCTGGTCTATCACATTGAACAATATTTTAGCAATTACCTCTATTTATAAATTGGTTACCTCAGAAGATAATATGACCTTCCTTCCTCTGAAAGTAATGTTGGACTACAATTTGGTGGAGGGGAGAAAAGATATATAGGGAAATTAAGCAACAGACTAAGAGCAGGATAAGTAACAACTTTGGCCTAGAAGATCTCTTAATATTTTAATTCAAACCTGAATTCCATGTTTACAGAGAAGGACAAAGACATAAAGAATAATTTCTCACCTTCCTTTCTAAAAATAGTTCTCTCCAAATCTAGGACCTAGGACTCACCTGAGTTCCGGAGAAAAGTCTTTTTAAGTCCTTACAGGAAGACTGTGAAGCAAAAAATATGAAATGGGAGGCTGGGGTTATGGCCTACTTGAATGAATGTTCAAGTTTTTTTTTCTTCTTCTTCAATAAGCTCACTGCAAAGATGTATACTGCTCTAGGTTTCCCTACAACTGAGCAGTCACCTTCAGAGGTCTACATTGCCTTTAATTCCTTTGGATCCAACCCAAAGGAACAATCTCTCCAAAGAATGAGATAATGTGTAGTATAATCCCTGACTCTTAAGGTACACTTTCTGAATATATCAGTAGTTCAAAGTTATATAACTTAGAACCCTAAACATAGCTGGCATTACAAATGCTTTATGTAATCTCTAAATTCAAATAATATCCTACCTAGGTAAGGTTATTAGTTAATTTTTGACAAGGGTTTATTTTTTTCAGTTGCACATTTAGGAAATAGTTACAAAGGTATTAGTTTTGTATTTCAGTTTTCCTTAATTGAGGTATGTCAGCCTTACAGTCTCCCCCAAACATTTCCACTTTATCCCATGTACTTAATGATTTTCCCCAATTAATTCTTTTTCTCCTATAGTTTAAGAAAAAGTCCTTTTCTTCTATGCCTGTTCTTGGCTATATGTATTCCTATACATAAAGTGACTATACAGATGCAGCATATTCACTTATTGTAAAGTAAAATAAACTCTGAACTACATAATGTCCTTATTTTCATAATTAATGAAAGGAGAGAGATATGACTATAAACCACAGTTATAAAAGCAGATGCAGAACTTTGTATACACATACCTGAACTGTCTGGACTTGTGGAGACTGAATAACTGATGGCTGGGCCGCCTGAATAACTCCATGGACTTGAACTGTCTGCCCATTGGGCAGCTGTACTAATGTTACGGTGGGAGCAGATGATGTTGCATGAGCTGCTGGCATAGATACCTATTGTGTTGAACATGGAAAAAAATTACCATCACAGATACTTTCTTGGGAGTACTCATGTTCAATATAAAGCAAGTTTTTAGCAGCAAAAAGATGACCTTTTTGCTAGATAAGTATTTTATTGGTGTGAAAGAAACTAATGATTAAATTTAATATTCTTAAAGAAAGACTTCAAATGCTTCCCCCACCCCCACTTTCCAACTTCTCCCAAAAGACAAAACCCAAAATACTATTTTAATATAGTATCAAAATATGTAACAGACTTCCTTTGAAAACTAAATACTACTTTATTTGTATGGAGCTTTACATTTTCCCACCTGCTTTCATACTTAATTTCTCATTTTGCTCTTCAAAGATATCAAGACTGGGTAATCAGGATTATATCCATTTTAGAAACAGAAATATCAAGTATTCAAAGAGATTAAGTAATTTACTGAAGGTCAAGCAATATGCTAGACTTAAACATAAAAGTCTTCCTAATATCATGTGTTAAATAAGTCATGTTCTAAAATATAATTGCTCTCAAGCTTGGGCAAAATTTAGCTACTAAGTCTATAACAAATACACATTTTATAATATACAGCATAATTTTCTTTATGTTATGCTAATTACAATATGCCTTTCATTAATGAGAAAGTATTAATAGTATTATAATCTATAAAAATTTCTACTCCTCCCCGCAAATAAATCACTAAGCTGGTAACAGTTGATATTTTAAGGATTTATTTTCCTCTTGAAGAAATAAGGGAGCAAAGTTTAGAAAATATAAGAGAAACCAATTTTTTTTCCTGAGGAAGAGTCAATATCCAGGTGCAAAGGGCTCTTATGCCATGCATGTCTATCAGACGGCACTTAACTATTCCTACTCTTGCACACATTGCGGGGTAGGGATTTTATCTGCTCATTTGGTAAACAGTTACTGGTATCCTATATGCCAGGAACAATGTTAGAACTGAAACTACAAAAATGAGAAAGACATAGATTGGAGTATGTATGTGAAGAAATGGGGAAAAGAACACAAATAAATATAATTCAGTGAACTAATGAGGTTTGGAAAGATAAAAATAAACACAGAGAGCTATCCCACCCCACCTGAGAGAGGAGGCTACCAGGGAAGAATATAAATTTGAGACAAAGAAAAGAAGCTAGGCATGTTATTATAAGCCTAGAATTCCAGGCAGAGAGGCTAGCACTGGTAAAAGCAAGGAGAAACAGCATGATCTGGATATGGCAGAGAGGGAAGACAAGCAATCAGTACTACTAGATCACGTACGTATCTTACTCTATAACATAGGAGTGAGGAGAAATGAAATAGCAGAGGCAGGCAGGAGCTAGATGTGCTAGTCATGAAAAATCTTATATATGTCATATTAAAGAACTTGTACTTTATCCGGAGATTGGGAAAGGCACTGAGGGTTTTGAACTCCTGAACATCATGGTGAGGTTTGCATTTTAGATAGATCTCTTTTGCAGCAGTGTGAAAAATATTTATGTCACAGGAAGAAAAAAGTGGAGGCAAGGAGACAAATTGAGAAAGCCTACATAGTTGTTATGGTGAGATGATAAAGGCAGAAAAGAAGGCACTAGATGTGGAAGGAATGGGAATTAGAGAATTGATTTAATGAAAATTCAGGAGGCAGACCAGAAAGAGCTTTCTGAATGATTGCTTAAAGGGGGTGAGAGGAATCAACGACGACCCACATATTTCATGTTTGGGTAAGAACTGGTAGACTATGTTATCAACTAAAACAGAGAACACAAGAGGTAAGGAGAAACTTTTGGGTGGTTGGGGTGGTGGTGGAAGATGAAAGAATTGATCTTTGTGAAGCTCAGGGGGGAAGATCCCTATTGAAGGTAGAGGTTAAAACCATAAGCTTTCCATCTTTGGACAGTCAGAAGTCCTTCCTAATTAATCATTTTCTCTCTGGCCATTATAAATCTTGTTCAAGTTTTATCTGATTCTCAAAATGTGGTCCGTGGACTACACCTCCATTAGTTACACAGGAACCTGCTTACAACTCTGATGGACCCCAAGACGCTTTTCCCTACACTCAACCACAACCCTAAGTTATTCAGAGTATTTCATCTCAGTTCCACACAAAAGCTCTTCTAATATTTGAAGCAATTATTGTGTCATCTTCTGAGTATTTCCTAGGGTGAACATAACATGCTAACTTAATAATTCCTTTTCTACCCTGATCATTCTACATAATGGCTCCTCTCATTATAAGTCTATAAAATACAGATACACAAAAATAAGATAAAAATCACTTATACTCCTACCACTCAGAGCTAATCACTTTTTATATTTTTGCTGTAGATCTGGGTTTTTTAAAAANAAAAATCACTTATACTCCTACCACTCAGAGCTAATCACTTTTTATATTTTTGCTGTAGATCTGGGTTTTTAAAAAAAATATGTTTTTATTGATTTTAGAGAAAGAGGAAGGAAGAGCGAGAGAGAGAAAAACATCAATCAGCTGCTCCCCATGCCTCCCACTGGGTACTGAGCCCACAACCCAAGCATGTGCCCTGACAGGGAATTGAACCAGCGACCTCACGATGCATGGGACAATGCTCAACCAACTGAGTCACACTGGCAAAGGCGATCTAGGTGTTTTTAAAGGTACATAAGTACATTCAATTTTTAGAACACATTATCATGAAATCTATTTTATCTTTGAATTCACTATAAATATCTTTCCATTCCATTAACAGTCTTCATTTTAATGAATGCATAATAGTTAAAATTACATAATTTATTCAATAAATTCCTTATTATTGCATATTTAGGTTTTCAAATTTGCCTATTTCAAGAAGCTACAACAGCCCTGGCCTGTTTGCTCAGTGGTTAGAACATCGGCCCAAGGACTGAAGGGTCCTGGGTTTGATTCCAGCCAAGGGCACATGCCTCGGTTGCAGGCTCAATCCCCGGACTTGGCTGAGTGCGAGAGGCAACTAATCGATGTCTCTCTCATATCAATGTTTCTCTTTCTCTCTCTTCCCCTTCCACTCTCTCTGAAAAAGCAATGGAAAAAATATCCTGTGAGAATTAAAATTAAGAAAAAGAAGCTACAACAATCACCCTTTTATCCAACTCTTTAGTTAAGTCCATAAAAATTTATATTCTCATAGTCAAAACCAACATTTTCTTTCTCACTCAAAAAATATTTCTGTAAATTCCAAAAGATGTAAAATAAGACATCTCATTGTTTTAGATTTTCTTCCTTTATTAGTTAGGCTGAATTTTTTTTCCCTGTTCATTGCATTGATCAAATCACAATGATCTTGGATTTGACCATTTTATTATATTTTTCTAGTATTAAAGCCTGACAAAAAGCCCTGACCAGTATGGCAAAGTTGGCTGGGAGTTGTCCCATGCACCAAAAGGTTGCCGGTTCAATTCCTGGTCAGGGTACATGCCCAGGTTGCAGCTCAATCCCTGGTAGAGGGAGTATAGGAGGCAGTCAATTGATGTTCTGCTCTGGCATCAATGTTTCTCTTGCTCTCTCCCCCTAGTGCTTCCTCTCTCTCTAAAATCAATTAAAAAAAATAGTAGGTATCAGACTGACGAGAGGAAATTATGTCAAAAATATATGATGTATGTGTTAAGAACTTGGATGAACAAGTACAAAAACTGTAATTTTGTAAATATTCCCCAAAAAATATACAAATGGGAACTAGCTTTCCTAAAACTCAAATATCATGCCATTCTGCTTTTACAAGTCTTAAGTGCTAGAGGACTACTTAGTAAGAATGACATTTTGAACATGTGTATATAATTTTGCTCCTTCCTGAATCTCCAATTAAACTTCATGAAACTGATTTTGATTTTACAGGCATAATCACATGAGCCTGAGCATCGGAAAGAGTAAGAATTTTGGAGTCTGGAAAGCAGATGGATGAATGGTATTAAACTTGGAAGACCTCTTGGAAGACCTCAGAAGGCCAATTCATGAGTTGGAGGCAGGGAAAGCCTGATTTGCATCACAAAATCCTTAAGCGGCTCAGGAGCTAAGACACTATGGAAGGTGGAGTGAAAGGAGAGGCTGAAGATAAGGCTGTTTCAGAAGCAACTGAATCTCCTCTCCAATTCCCAGTGGAGAGAACCACCAGGGTATCCCACGCTGACAGAGAAGTAGGGATTTATTTTCTGGATAGAGTGTCTTTCTTGAGTCCGACTGCCTAATACCAGACATTGCTGAAGGTGGAGTACTAAATCTTAGTCTTCTCTCACTTGGTTCCCAGGCTTTTACCATACAAGCAGAGTACTAGTAAAGCTTTCTCTGGGGAACCTGACCAATGTCAAGGGGCAGAAGACCTTAAAGATACTGCTAGTGGCCCTAAGTGAAGCTCACAACTCCTAATGTTAAGCCTCAAACATATCCACAGAGTTTCCAATACAGCTTTTTGGTCCCCTATTTCTAAACCTGAGTAGACAACCACAAATTACTGAGGAAAGCTTCTAATATGAAAGATGCAGACCAGAACAATGGAAGGGGGGAAAGCTATAGGGGAAATGTGTGGGGAGAAGACTTAAAACAAAACCTAATTAATATTCTGATATAAAAGAAAATATTGCCTTTGTGAAACTTAAACAGGATGATATTAAAACACAAAAGGACTATTCAGAGAACAAAAGGAACTCTTAGAAACATGACAGGATAAATAAAAAAATTCAACAGATGGGTTAGAATGTGAATTTGAGGAAATCTCCCAGAAAACAACAAAAAGACAAAGACATAAAACAGAAAAGAAGAAATGAGAAAAACAGTCCTAAAGGTATAACATCTGTATCACAAGGATCCCAGAGAGAAAAGACAGAAAAAATTATCAACCAAATAATGTGAATACATAGGATAGTGGGTGAAAAATTATCCAAATCAAGGTCCTAATAACCTGATAATAAAATAATGAAGTACTATGAACAAAGACAAGAATTTTGTAAGATATCAGAGATACAAAATAAGAGATGCATTTAGTCTTTCAAACAGCAACACTATAAGTTGACTATGGATCAATTCATTCAAATTTTAAAGAAAAATGATTTCTTTACCAAAAATTCTTTACCCAAAGTTGCTCAAGAAACCACTGGAAAACATGGTTTACTATCTCAAGAACACAAACTTCTCAAGAAAGTCCGCAAGGGGAAGGAATTTCCAGAATGATATACAGCAGACTTAGAGGACACCAAACCAGAAAGAACAGTGTGATGCACGAAAAAGGCATGTTGAGCATTGTCACCATCAAGATCCCTGTTGGCGTTGTATCTTACAAGAGTGCCAAACTCTTGGATGAGCCTAGATTCTTATCTGTGCATGCTTTCTGACCATGTACTGATGATGTCCCAGCTCTCCTGCTTTGTTCCTGCACCTGCCTCACCTGAGTGCCTCTACTTCATCCTCAAGTGTGCTCTATTTCTAAAGGCTGATGGTGGGCCTTGGTGATCGCAGGAGAAAGCAGAGCAGCCCACTCCTTCTGACTACATTCCTGCTGGAGGTCTAGTTTTTGGCCCATACTTTAGCTGAGTATGGTAACCATCTGTGCTTAGCCATCTATTTCCCAAGACCCCATTCTGACTCCTGGGGGAGATCTTTAAAACTCTTTGGTAAGCTAAGGCAGGATATCCCAGAGCCTCTGCTAGGATTATTTTCTCCTGAGAGCCTTCACCTGAAGGAGTCAGTATCATATGTTTATCTAACATATTTATGTTTGCTGTTCGGTTTTTATATTAACCATCTTTCTCATATATATTCAAAGTTAAAATATTTAAGGAAAAATATGTAACGAAAAAAAAGGATGAAAGAATACAACCTTAGAGATAGAATGTTTCAGACAAAAACAAAATGAACCATGAATTATATTTAAAATATATAGGAAACAAAAATTATCATCCTTGAAACTTACTATTGTGACAGTTATTTTACTTATCTGAAATTTTCAGTTTAAGCACATGTAAACTTAGCCTTTCAGGTTATCTGCATTCCCATGTCCCAAAACAAATGTGTGATATGAGAAAAGCAGTTATATAAGGTTTTCTTCCCTTGTTTAAGAGATACAATCAATCTGCCCATTAGTTAAAATGTAATTTTCTGAATCACATTGCTACATATAGTCTATCAGTGTTTAACAATATTTTTTCTGATATGCTACTGAATTAATACTATCATTTCTAAAATTAGTCTAATACTAAGTAAAACAGGAATTTTGATATTCTAAGAATGTCTCTGCTCATTCTATGCATATCTCTGTACTAAAAACAAAATTCTCTTGTCTGAAACATATTCCTCTTGGAAGAGACACAACTTGGAACCTCTCCACATATTTTATACCTGGGCTAATGTGGCAATCTGTGGCTGGGATTGAACTGTCATTTGCTGGTTTTCAGCTTCTGTTACAGCTGCATCTCCACTCTGCTGGTTCTCTGCTCCAGATTCCATGGTCATTTAGTCACCTACAATAATATGGAAGAGTGTTACAAGCACTACAGTGCCTTGTGCTTTTGTAACTTTAAAGGCAAATTTCAAGTTATAAGTAGGTATATGTGGTGGTTAAGTTAGCAAATGCACTCAGAAATCTAGTTAATATATAATATAGCTTAATCATTACAAAACTTGTGCAAATTTGCTGAGCTGTAAATGTTCTAGTCCTTTCAGAAACGAAAAATCTTTCTTTTCCCTTGCCATTTGTCCCCAATGAGATATTACTCTAAGATGTAAGAAAGTATTACTCTCTTCTACAAATCTCCCCTACCGACAAGGGGAGGAAGAGAAACAGCAAAGTTTTAATTTTTCAATCCGTGCCAATCAGGTTCGAAGAGAGGGTAGAGAGTAGAAGGCAGCTGATGATAGGGTCTATGAGATACTGGCTTCATGGCACCTCCTATAAGGGTATTCCCTCCTGTTACAGGGAAGCAGCAGAAAAATTATCAGCTACTTCCACAGGAAATTACTGGAGGTAGGACAAAATCAGCCCAAGTTTCAAGAACCCAAGTTGTGGGGTATCAAGATAAAAAGGTGGAGTAATTAGCCACAGAGCCAAGTTGGAGGCTCCAAATACTTGAATACGCTTGTATTCTGATTCCTCTCCCTACGTCTGTATAGTATGCAACACTATGCACATGCATACACATGCACAAAATAAAAAAAACTTTAAAAATTTTAAATTGCAAAATTGTGGATAAGGCTGATTTTTTTTTACTTTTGAACCTTGCTTTGCTAAGGGCTTAGTATATTTGTTGGGTAATCCAGCACTGGATAGCAGCAAAATAAGTGGAGGGCCACTCCTAGCAGCAGCTACATGGAGATGGAGAAATTTCTGGTAACTGGGGAAGCCATCATGTGTAAAGTACTCACAATGAAAGGGATTACTTACTTGTATACTACTGCCATCATTCAGTGCTTAGCATATTACTTGTAAAAAATGAATTAATAGTAAAAACTACCTATAGTGATTCCATAAATAACACAAAACCCAAAATGCTTTTCCAGATTTTATTACATTTATTTTATAACTCTGAAATTGATCATCAAAATTGTCACTGTTCCTTATGTGATTACTACATGTCATCAGAATGTATCACATACGAATACATTTTGCCATCATTTACACAGTTCTACAAAAAAAAGTGTTTTACAATGACAGTTAAAAATTGAAGTGAAAATATCTCTGGAAATGAATATAAATAATTCAGAAATTCAGAATCCATGAAACAAGTAACAAAAGGTTAACAAACTACATAATTACTTAAAACATTTATATGGCAAAAACCACCAAGATAAATGCACAGAGAGAAAGTATCTGCCACATATAATTAACACAGTAATGTCTAGAGTACAGAGAAAGTACTAGTCAATAAGAAACCCTTACTGAACTATTATTGACGAGTTAACAAAAATATGTTCAAGAATACTCACTGTAGAAATTTTTTATAAAAGCAAAAAACTGGAAACAAGTATCCATCATTAGGGGACCTTTAAAGAAATTACAGCAGTAAAAAAGAATGAAGTCTGTCTATAATGTAATGACATAAAGCTTTCCAAGACAGTGTGAAATGGTGAGCCATGGAACACACTGTAAAACAGACCCCTCATTTATGTTAAAAATAAGTAAAATTGTTGTAAAGGTGTACGCATGGAGAAAGATGTGGGAAGTTATATACTAAACTGGAAGTGGTAGCTCTAGAGGAAGACTTGGTAGGTGTGTATAGGATGATGATTTTCACCTCTCTGTATATATTTTAGTAGTATTTTTCTCTTCCCATGAGCAAAAATTCAGGATTACTTGAACAATGTAAAAAAATTTAATACCAGAAGTCAAGGATAACATTTTCAAACTATGAACCAAAAACTATATTTCAGTAATGACTTTGAGATACTTGTTGACAATTTTTAAATCCCAGATACTTTTTACATGAAATTACTATTTTTGTTTAAAATTTACCTAAATTGTTTACCCTACAATTCCAAACAGTAAAAATAACTATTTTTTTAAATTATCAAATAATTTTATCATTTGTGATAGTTCACCGACTTGTATACTTACAATCTGTGCTCTTTTAAACTAAAAAATTTAGCTCACCCGGGCGTGGCTCAGTGGTTGAGCGTCGACCTAGGATCCAGGCGATCGGGGTTCGATTCCCGGTCAGGGCACATGCCTGGGTTGTGGGCTCGATCCCCAGTCAGGGGCGTGCAGGAGGCAGCCGATCAATGACTCTCTCATCACTGATGTTTCTAACTCTCTCTCCCTCTCCTTTCCTCTCTCTGAAATCAATAAAGATATATTTTAAAAAAAACACACACAAAAAAACAAAAACAAAAAACAAAAAAATTTAAGGAAAGCATCAAAAGTAACAGAGAGCAACAGTAAAACCAAAACAATTTCTGTACCCTAAATGTTGTACATACTTCTGGTCTGAAAGAAAATGGATGTGACAATACCTCCTTTGTAGAGAGTATATATGCAACCATTTTTAAAACTTTATTTCAATCCATTTTTTTTTTAACCTATGCTATCATCCATTATAGTTTCACTCCACCATTTGATTAAAAGCAATCAAAGTACAGTATACACACACACACACACACATATGTGCGTGTATATATATATTGTTTGTTTAACACATCTGGATTCCTTAAGTATTTTTGACATTTAAGACATAGGGCGTCACTACAACTTGTTTTAGAAAATACTTATGACCACATTATAATAAAGGAGCGAAGCCATCAGCTAACACTGAGTAATCACAGCCGCAAGGACACATTAAAAAAGAAATGTGATCTGCATCCTTCTTCCCTCCCCAACGAGAAAATAGTCTTTCCTTTTAAAACAAAGTGTGATATTTACAATGGATAGGGTGCTCCATGTTAACTGCCAGTGTTTTATTATCATTTCATTCAGGCAGGCTACCAATCTTTTTCTCAGAGGAAGGAACAACTTTCTTAATTTTGGTAACTCTTAGCTTGAGTAGATACAAGTCACTGGGGCAATAGTACAAATACTGCCTTTCATCAGAAAATTCAGGCCTTTCTCAAAGTGGAGTGAGAACTGTTTCATAAAGAACAACCTGTATTAGATGAGAAACTCATTCACTAAACTAAAACAGACAATACTCATTGGTTTACACCTGGAAGGTACTGAAATAGCAGTATCCCAACTAGCCTAAACTAGCATTTGAAGTAGGTGCATTAATTTTGGACACTGAAAACTTTTGTTCTTTTTGTTTATATCTTCAGGTGGGGAGGAAAGAGATGTTATGGTGTCATGTGTACAATCTTTATTTTTCTATTAGCCCAGCAGCAGTCTAGCCAGCAGTGCAGTCAGTACACAAACACAGGATCAATTTATAGAGCCAAAATGTACATCTCCAAAGTTGTTTGAAGAAAGAGGATTCCAAATTCATTACACAAATCAGTGCTTTTTGGGTGCAAAACAAAAACAAAAACAAAAAAAGACTGATGTTACAAAAAATAAGAAAAAGATCGTGTACATTATTCAGAAAGAATGTTGTATAAATATTGGGCCTGAAACATTAGAAACAGAATGGATCTTAGAAATCACTGAAAATCTAGCATTCGCTTGACAGTTTTGTGATTTGTGTTCTTCCAATAATTCTGAATTTTAAAATTTGAGTTTGATATTTAAAATTTGGAGATTTTCATGATTTATCCTTAAAAAGTAACATAATCCATTGGAAATCATTAATTTATAACAAATTACAAAATAGTGTCATACCTAAAACAAAAAACTTTAAACCAATTCAGAAAGATACATATCATTTTGCTATAATGATCTTGAGTTCTACTTCTTAGTATGAACAATAAACGCAAAGTAATTCTGTAGTATTCTTCATCCAATCTTGAGAGAAATGATGAACGCTGCTATAAGTAGCTGGGAAAGGGAACTTAACACTTGGACAGCTAGATCTGTCACCAAGCGGTCGTTGGACAAATTAACCTTTTTGTGTTTCAATTTCCTCATCTGTAACAAGGGAGATGGATTAAAAGACCTGTATTAAATGCTCTGATCCTAGGAACTTACACCACAAGGTGTGTAAACACATAATTATGCAGGATACTAAATAAACGAATATATATAATAAAGGAAGTATTTCCTTTTACCATATAGTAATATACACACACACATATAAAGACAGGTTGGCTAAGAACAGGTGTTTGAGCATCCTGAATGTGGGCAAATACAGCAATATTATCACTCATTTACATATATATAAAATTCTGATAATGCAACAGAACTGGAGATAATTATTAGTACTTTCAAAAATTGCAACAAGACTAGAATATTATTCAATAAAAGTCATCTTTGCCTGGCTGGTGTGGCTCAGTGATTGAGCATCCACCTATGAACCAGGAAACCAAGGTTCAATTCCAAGTCAGGGCACATGCTGGCGTTTCAGGCTCGATCCCCAGGAGGGGGTGTGCAGGAGGCAGCGAATCAACGATTCTCTCTTATCACTGATGTTTCTCTCTCTCTCCCTCCCTCTCCAAAATCAATAAACATATTTTTTAAAAAGTAAAAATAAAAATTATCTTTTACCTGGAGGGCAGTGTCTCTTCCACTCATTATATTGCTCTTGTCTTAATTGCTGTTATAGTTATTAAATAGTTTAATAGCCCCTTTTCTTAATTTTCAAAGAAGATAAAGCAGTTTTTCCTTTCCATCTTAGAAGCCTTCAAGAAATTTATGACTAGGGCTGTATTACTTTACACAGTAAAGATAGTAGTTATTTAAAAGTTTAAAATGTAGCTTAGATAAACATCTCTGTAAATGTCGAACAAACACATGACATTTAAAAGAGAGTATGTTCTGCAATACAGTACTGATAAATGTGGGGGGAAAGGGTAACTTTTCTGACAAGAAAAATGGTAGGAGCAAAGACTTAAATTATGGTAGACCTTTAGAGAAATGACTGTGAGTGGCTGGTGTCAGATTTTGTATAGAAGCAAAGAGAAAGAAATCATAATACAGAATGGCCACTCCAAAGCAACTATGAATTACTAGGGTAAAATGAGAATATCAGAATGATGTCTCTTAAGGTACTGGGTTCAGAATTTTTATAGTGCAATGGATTTTACTTCTATTCTATATAGCAATATATCCTGAGGGAATTCACAAGTAAACACTTTTCTAAAACCAACAATATCTTCAATGTAACAGTTTACATTACATTTGTATTAAAGTATCATATCTAGAACTTATATGTCAGGCACTGTTCAAGTTACTGAAGATAAAGAAATAAAATTTTTAAAAACTTTTCCTTTGTGAACTTGTATTCTAGTGTGTGGAAGCAGGGAGGAGAAAGTGAAATGTATAAATCAGATAGTGAGAAGTGCTGTGTAAGAAATAAAGCTGGGTAAGATGTTTGAGGGATTTTCAATATTATAAAAGCTAACCAGTGAAACCTTCATTGATTTAAAGTAGCATTTAAATTCTACACAGAACTACACACCAAACCAGGGACAAATTTCTGGCAGCACTAGTTCCATATCTGCCTTTACCAAGCTAACTAAAGCTAATCAAACAAGAAAGCAAGCCTATATCATCAGTTTTGCTAACAATCCATTAAGCAAAAGGAAACAATGCTACAACTCTTCACCTTGCTCTGCCTAAAACATTCTGACCTTTAATAAGTGCCCCAGTCCTTATAATCCTAAACATTGTAGTTCAAGTTTATGAAAAACAGACCCATCTCCCCCATAACCTAGTCTACTCTTTAATCCCTTAAATCTATGGCCAAATTAATACAGTCTAGGATATGAGGTAAGTGTTCAAAGAAATGAACTGTTCTGCATTTTGACTCTGAAGAAATAATGCAGTTATAAATAACAGAACATATAAATGCATGCTGACTTTAAAAAATGCAAATAACCTCAATTATAAATGAGAAAAAAACCTTCCCCTGCAACCTACACCAGGTAGATTCCTCCTGAACTCTTTTACCAATCTAAAAGTCCAAGGATTTAAGGAAATCACATAGGCAGAAGTTTAAAATCTCCAGGGTAACCATAGCAAAAGGCACACTTGGGCACATGACTTTAGAACTAAACAATTATTTTGTCATATTCAAACGTAGTACCAAATTACTTTGCAGAAGTATACTTAGAAACATCTTTGAGCAATACATAGTACTTTCTACAGTTATGTGGTACTTATTAGTTTTTAGGATAACTGTTTGAATGCCTTGTTAACACATTCTTAACACTGTCAGTATGTCTTGATTAATTTTCTAAAATGTTAAGATTACCTTACTAAAGAAAGTGGTAAAATATTCAGGTGCTACACAACTTCTGCTTTCTAGGAATCAGAAACAATGTGGCACTACCTCCTTCCCTTCCCTTTTTTTTCCTATACAATTTTTCTTTAGGTTGTGAACCTTGAATGCTTGTCATTTATCTTTATCATATGTCCAATCCTACAGAAGCGAGATGTATGCTATCAATACTGGAAATTTAGTAGTGTTCCAGGTTTCTGATGCTAATAATAAATCATCTTTTGGTATTAAATACAGTGTATCTTCACTGAAATCAGATAGTCATACCACATATTCAAATGTATGTGTATACATACATATCAGTATGTCTATAATATACGCACCCACCCACACCCAATTCAATACACATTATCATCTTCAACTACAAAAGCTTTATTAGATTATACTGATCACACCTTAACAAAATGAGGTTACATACACTTTTTAGGGAAACAGTAAAAGAACAACGTGATATATAAAATAAACTTGATGTCTTTATTAAACTAAGTAAATTTGGACACAGTTTTCAGAAATAGTTTTCTATGTTCTCTTACCAAGGTCTGTTTCCCTTAACTGGAGAATGAATTCATACCTCAGCCTCTAGTCTAGATATTACAGGAAGGCAAAAAAAGTTATACATGAAGTTAATTTTTTTATTACTTGAATTGATAAGATTTAATTATTTATAAGACAAAATCTGAAAGTGTTTATGTATTTTTATAAATTCTTTATATTAATAGTAAATATCTGTATAACCCAACCACTGCTATCAAAAAAGGCAGCATACAACAAAGGGGAATCTTTTCAATGTTATTTAATAAAATTAGTTACCTATGTATTTGTTTATTG